ATAATTATAATCAATTATAATCAAGCTAAAATTGTTTGCACCGAAACGGCTTCCTCATTGCGATGGTGATTTAGCGGTCAACATCAGAAGACCGAAAGTTAATTTGATGGTGGCCACGCGTGTCAAAGAAGGTGAAAGAGATATACACAAGGACTAGTAGCTCAATGTCAATCAATTTCAAATAGCCAATGATGGACCTTAATTTATTTGATTGACGGGGGAATACAGGCCAGGTAAATACGAGGGCGGTGCTTATTATCTCGGACTTCAAACGCAATACATTTTGCGTTTAAACGCAATAATATTTTTGCGTTTAAACGCAAAAATATTGCATTTAAAGTTTTCATATGTTGAGTGGGATTATATTTTTGCAAATATCTATGGTTAATAATTCTATTGCTAGTATTAGAAATTGGAATCTAAGTATTGTATGAGCATTATAATTGTTATTGTGGGAAAATCTATGTTTTTTATATGCTAATTATAAAAATAGAAAACATGTTAGAAATCATTTATTTATATTCATATCTTCAATTTAAATGAGGGATACAGGGTACTTTGAAATGCTTCGTTATTTTAAGACAAACTAAAATGTTGTTGATTATTCAACGTACGTTTTCCATTCAACGAAATTTTATTCAACATATCAGTAACTGGTAAACGTAATAGTGTTTGTATTTCTATCTATTATACATGCAATTGTTTTTCGTAAAATTTATTGAAAATGCAATGCAATGGTTACTCATTTGTTACTAGCATATTATTTTTATGCATATTTTCATCTTTTTTGAAGAAGCTTTCAAGCATATTTCAGATCTAGAAAAATAATGTATTATATAAGAAATATTTGTAACTTTATAAGTGATGTCTTTAACATAGGTAAATCTCTGTGACTCTTTCATTGAATATTGTATCCATATATGACTTTCACCATCTGTATTTTATATCAATAAACATTATGTGTTTATATATGTCCACGTATGGCAGCATATGGCAAAGGTTGAATTGAAGTTTCTGAAATACAAATCAAATTCCAAGGTCAAGAGATCAAAAAACCTGTCTTCAACATGTTCAATTCATTTGAAAATAGCTACAGTCATTTGAAGATAGGAGGAATTATTCGAAGATAGGTACAAATATTTGAATATATGTTAATTTATGGAACGCCAAATTAACATATACATGCATATTCAAATATTTGTAATGTACCTATCTTCAAATAATTATACGTACACTGTATCTTCAATTTATTTTGAAGGTACAATTGAATTAAAGATAGGTACAATTGAAATAAAGATATGTGTAAATTTTTATACCTATCTCTAAATAATTATACCTAGGTACAAATACATTATACCTATCGTTAATGGAATTACACTTATCTTTAATTCAATTAAAGATAGGTTCAATTGAATTATACCTATCTCCAATTCATTTGAAGATAGATGTAATTGATTTAAAGATAGGTACAGTTATTTAAAGATAGGTACAGCTGATTTGAAGATAGGTTCAATTAAGACATATCCACAAAGGATTTGAAGATAGGTACAACTCAATGATACCTAGGTTCCATTCGTTTTGTGTTTTTGAAAATAATGAACGCTCCCTTGGAGAAAATATTGAACGTGGGTGGAAACGCACAGAAGTGAGAACCTACAGAGCGACGACAACGAGGATGACAGGAGAAATAAAGGTAAATTCAAAATGTACAAAAAGCATCATATACTTACTAAATACACATGTATATGAATAAGTGAGCGAAAAACATATACCGGTAATGACGTATGATACAGGGAGTGGTTATTATTTCCAGTGATTAAAGGTAGTAAACCTATATTTGTACAAAACTTTGAATCAATTATACCTTTCTTCAATTCATCGCACTTGTACTTATCTTCAAATCAGTTGTACCTATCTTCAAATGAATTAAAGATCGGTGTAATTGATTTGTACCTATCTCTAATTCATTTGAGGATTTAAAGATAGGTACAATTCATTTGAAGATATGTACAATTATTTGAAGATAGGTACAAATATTTTAATATATATATGTTCATTTTGCGTTCCTTTTAATGGAGCCTATCTACAAAGCAATTGTACCTATCTTTGAATTGAAGACAGGTAAAGGATATGGAGATAACGAACAGTATTCAATATCAAAGTCCATAAAACAATACAAAATTGGAGCAGAGCAAACACGGACTTCCGAAACATCAGAGATGGGATCAGGTGCCATGGAGGAGTGAGCATCCCCTGCTGACCGGTCACACCCACATGCTGCTTGTCATGATCGGGAAATAACGGAAAAATCCGTCGTAAATTCAGTGTATAAATAATGGACTATAACAATAAGTATGAAAAACGTCAGTCAGCATTTGTCTCAATGATAAATTGTATTTGCTGACAAGGTCATTGTAGTGACCATAAAATTTACAAAATGAGGACTTTAAACGAGACTGCTGATATTCTTGTTTCATCAACTTGCCTGTTAATAATTTATCTCGTTTTAGAAATTATTCATACGTAGAGCATGCTCTTGCGTATCGAATCAACTGAGATATACAGACTCCGTATACAGGTGATGAAGGTATTAATATTGCTGCATAAGTAAGGGAAGTTGAAGATAGAAAAGTTAAAGTCATCACGTTTATCATATAGCTTGGTTGTTAGATTACCATTAACGTCTTTTTCAAGTAAAATATCCAAGTATGAAACAGATATGTCAGACTCTGTGGCATCTTTTATCTCAAGCTCACCAGGATATATCGTATCGACGTAGGAATGGAATTGGCCATTGTTAAATATTTACATTTCCAATAAATTTCTCCTATGATTCTTTACAACATAAAATGCAGTATATTTCTTAATTGACAATACGTCGTCGATATATCTAAATGTCGAGTTGAAGGCCACAGTAAGTGTTTTCTTCTTTTCACGCATTAAATTTTGCACAAATTCTGCTTCATATGAATATAAAAATAGGTCTGCTAATAACGGAGAGCAATTGGTACCCATGGGAATTCCAATAGATTGTTGGAATACCTGGTCTCCAAAAACCACTTAGATATTGTCAATCAGAAACTCAAGCATCTTACAGAGTACTTGTGTGTGCAATCAGAATGTGTTTTAACAAAATAATTTTGCAAATGACCAATGACCAGGTAAGTAAATTTACGAGTTCCATTTTTATTGAAAAAGCAGCTGTCAATGATATCAAAAAGCCTGGACTTTAATTTATCGTGGGGAATGATCGTGTATAAAGTTGAAAAGTCGTAAGTTTTTAAGCTGTTGATTTTGGAAAATTCTTGTGATTTCAAATTGTCCAAAATGTTTTTTGGAATTTTTGAGTATCCACATCTGATTCACAGCACTTCTTGAATAAATTGTTGCGCAGTACTCTTGAAGTTTTTCCTTCACTACTGTCAATATCTTAGTGAGGAGTAACGAAAGAGGCTTGGTTGAACATTTACTTGAACCCGCAATGTATCTTTGTGTGTAAGGATTTTTATGAAGTTTCGGAATCCAATATATATACGGTAGTTCAAATTAATTTTGGCTCTGTGGAATCATATTAAAAATATTTAAAACAGACATATGATTTTGAAGAATTCCTTCGTTAGAAAGGGAAGTATGAGTAGAATGAAATCCAAAATCTTCTGAATTACAATTTATATACTGAGCCTTACAAACGAAGACAATGTTGTTACCTGCTTTGTCGGCAGGAACTGATCATGTAATCTATCTAATTCTTTTTTCACTTCTGGATTATTGAACACAGAAGGATAGATGGTTTTCATACTGCCCGTCAATTTTTTAATTCGCGACTTTAACATGGATCTGATACATTTAATCCATTATGACAGGGTGTCAACGTCTTCTTTTTCATATCTGGCCCATCGTCTGTATAAGTCTGTATAATAGGTGTAATTATTTAATTTGTACCTAGGTATAATTCTTTTGAGATAGGTATAATTATTTACACTTAGGTTATCTTCAATTCAACTGTACCCAGGCGCGTAGCCAGCATGGAAATGAAGTGTACGCAGAAAATGGTCATTCAATAATGTACGAAGACCCCCGGAAGCTCCTGGATTTTACGAAATTTTTCAGTCATTTTCTTGCAAAAGAAATGACGATAATCACTTTTCTTGAGCAAATACTTAAAGTTATACTGCTTCCATCGATACTTAGGGAAGAGAACGATAATTTATCAAATTAATTTACGCATATATGTTATTGGAAAAAAGTTTCCAAGTGTATCAAGAAAAAAAAAGTAGCAATCGCAATATCGTTATCACTGGAGTTTAAATTTATATTACAAAATATAAACGGGGGAGTTGTTGTCTTTTGATTACCTTCATATTTGATAGCTGAAACGATTCGAGAATGCTTTAATTATAATATAATTCTTTAAATTGGTAACATCAGTAAAAGAATTTTTAATTTATTATTTACTTTGTTCACCATACTTTAAATTGTTTAACGACATTTATTCATTACCTCTACGGAAATGAAAAATCTTGTATAGTCGTCCAAGACCTTAGTAACTTTTTCTTTCGATCATGGTCCCTTAGATCGCTTTCCTTCATCAAGTATTTGTCCGGATAATCAGGATTACGCGGATTAACAGTTGAACATTTTGGTTCAACAATATTTTTCTCCTGAAGAATGTTGAAAGATGTTTTTGGAATTGATTTCATAAAGGACTAAATTTGAATCGAAAGTCAAACAATAAGACGCAAAATAATTTGGGTGGTGTCTCTTTTTCCCCGAATAAATTTCTCTCTTTCTTTTTTTCCTTCTTTTTTTATCTCTCTTTCTTTTTTTGGAAAATGATGTGTACGCACTTGCGTACTTGCGTATAGGCAGCTACGCGCCTGGTACCTATCTTTAATTCAATAATGTACCTATCTCTAAAACCTGAAACATACAGGTACGACTTACTATATAAGAGGTAAATATTCGTACGAGTTGTTCAAGTCAGCGCGGCAAATTCGTTCTTGTATTGACGTTTTGAAGTTGAAAACATTGCCTGATTGCTGCAGCTTAGTTTGATGTAGGCTGGATGGAGAGCTGGATATGATTTCACGATAGGAAATTTATATGTAATAACACTCTGTGTCCATCACTAAAGAATCAAATTTTTGAAGTTATTGAGAACATTTCTGCTGAACATGCTGAAACGTTACTTCTGAATCAAAATGGCAAGAATAAAGATAACAAAGAAATCCGAAAAACGAAAAGAATTATTCCCACCAGTTGTTAAGTCTAATCAAATTAGTAAAAAGAAGAAAGTTAAAAATCTAGCAAAAGACTCGAAGGTTAGGAAATCTTCAAATTTGGGTGTGAAATCTGTGCTTGGTCAGTCAGGAAGAGACCAATCGAGTACCAAAATTGCAGAAAGAACCTATGGAACAGACGGGTTACTATTTGATGAAGAAGGTTTGTATATTAATATTTAGTCAAATTGTAAATGAGGAAGACATAATTTTGTGCTAATCAATGTATTCCACACATATGGTACTAGGGCAATATTATTCACTCAGAATTTTTTTTAAAACCTGTAATAGGTTTTCTTTTGTTTGTTTAACATCCCCCTGAAAAATTTTCACTCATACTGAAATGCCATCACTTGCCACTAAAAGACTGTGAACAGGCACTTAGCCTGTTACGGCCAGCTTTGAGCACTGAATGGGGTATTTTATAGTATGTGACCCACTATAGGGACTACGCCAAGTATGACCATGATGACAACATGTTATAAAAGAGTATACAAATTTTTATTTAGCCAATAGACCTTTATATTTACAATGTATATCATAACTGATATTATTTTAAATGTGAAAAATAGATTGAAGGCTTTCTAAACCTAATGTTTCTTAATAGGAGTGAAACGGTTCACTGCGGTATCGGTTCACCGCGGTATTTTTTCTCGGTTCGATACACGGTACAAAATCTCTGCTTTCGGTTCGGTTCGTTTTACGGTCGGGATCGTCATTCAGTCGGGTTTGGCATAAGGTATAACCGTGCTTTTCTGTATAATTAGTTCAGAAACGTAAGTTTGTGTGGACTTGAAGTTTGTAAAATAATTTTTAACAGTCAAATCAATTAAATTGATACATTCTATCCATTTTGCACATAAATTATTTTACTAGATTAAGTAAAAGGTAGCATAAAACAACATTGAATCTGTTTCCTTCTATCAAAATGTATCGTATCGAAAATAACCGAACCGAGACCAAATTTACTAGATTAAGTAAAAGGTAGCATAAAACAACATTGAATCTGTTTCCTTCTATCAAAATGTATCGTATCGAAAATAACCGAACCGAGACCAAATTTTTCGATACGTATCGAACCGTGAAGGAGGCGTATCGTTTCACCCCAATTTCTTAATGCTTATTGCTGAATAACTTTACATTGCAGACACAAGGAAAGTCATTTTCACAAAAGAGCAGATGGAAAGCTGGAAACCAATGTCTGAAGAGTTGTTTGACAATGTTGCAAAAATTATTGGAACTTCAAAACAGTAATTAGTTAAAACTAAATACTTCTTTCTTTCTATTAATAATGTGCTTTTGAATTCATACTATTAAGTTAAATGAAAGTAATATTGTAAGATGCAGTAACATAAGAAATTTCATCAACTGAGGAATGATGTATGAGCTGTATGCAATGTATAATGTTTAAACTTCGAAATCCATAATATAAAAGTAGCCTTATATCTTCCTTTTTTCAGGTTTATTCTGAATAAGTCCATTGGACTTTATTATGACAGTGTGAAAACAGCTATGAATTTGTCCGAGAAAAGGTACATATACTCATGTGGAAATTAATGTGAGCATTAATTGTGTGAATGATGTTTCACTGCACTGAAGTAATAACTCACCTGTGTAAAGTTTTTTTTTATTACTGTAGCTGATCATTAAAATTTTGCCACACGTTGTTTAGAGAAGATAGACAATTACTCTTTATCCCTGAGACAAAAATTTAAGAATTGTGGTTACTGCTCCATAAAATCATTAGGGATACTAATATACAGTGGACCTTCAGATATCCGGACCCCAAATATCCGGATGCTTCAGTATCCGGATGATTTCTCATCGGGACGAAATTTTTAAATGTTATATTGTTTTGTTTAACTAGTGATTCAGGTATCCGGACGCTTCACATATCCGGACAAATTGAATAGGAACCAAAGCGTCCGAATAAATGAGGCTCCACTGTACATGAGAATGATATTTTCACGAGCTTATTGTCTCGCGTAATTACGGGAAAATGAAGTTCTTGTGGATAAAAAGTGATTTACAGTATACTGTAAACCAATTTTTATTTGCGACGATTTTATTTAGCGGGGGTAAACTAGTTCGCAGCGATTAATTTTCACGATCAAACCTTATTTGGATCTGCTGTTAATAGAAACAGATACTTTAAGGATCAGTTCGCAGCGAGAAATATTCTCAATGATGAGGCTCTCGTGAAGCTCGCGAAAATTTCTCGCATACGAATAAAACTTGGTTTACAGTATCTTGCTCAATAAAAAAACTGAGAAATAAATTGAAGATATCTGAGGATTCAAGATGTCACTCCAGATCAAATATTTCCAAGAAAAAAGTGGTTGAATTTCCAACTCTCTTTATCATATAATATGTATAACTTAGATGTTTTGATATCAGTGTTCATGAAATTGAAGTACTAAGGCCAAAAAAAATTAATTAATAGTTTCTCAGGCCAAAAAATTCAATGCGGCAGGCAGGCTTTTTTTTTTTTTTTTTTTTTTTTTTTTTTTTTGGAAAGGTTTTTTTGTAAGTCATTTGTGCAGTAAAATGATAATATCTACTAATTCTTAAGTTTTGTTCTCTAAAATTAGTTATAATATGTATTCAATGTTAAATAATGTTATTCCAAACATTTACTTAAAAGTTTACAGATAAAATAGTTTAGATTTAGAAGAAATATATTGTTTTTACAATAAAAACGTCTTTACAGTATCTTGCATTAATGAAAAAACTCGATTTTCTTTTTCAACTTGGAAAAATAGAAAATTGAGTTATTTCAAATATTTCCAATGTCAATAAAATTGATCAATTTCGGCTCTTTTTCATATAATATGTAGTAACTGAGAAACTATTGATTAATTTTTTTTGGCCTAACAGTTTTTATATATTAATTTTTTTTACAGATTATTAGAAAGATTGAAAAATCTGAAAGTACCTCATCAACAAAGACACAGATCATCTCAATATTCTGAGGTACCTCTTACATTCAGCAACTGGGCATTTTCAGAACAATTGTATACAGTAAAACTTGTTTAGTACAAACATGGATATTGCAAATTCACGGATATAGTATAGCAAAGTTATCTTGGATCCCTAGCTATATACATATAATAAATTCCTTATATGGATATATCAAATTATGGATATAGTGAAGTAATTTCATAGGTCCCAATTACTTCGTTATAACCAAGTTTTACTGTATAAATGTTTATCTTCTGATATGTCATTTAGATCATCTGAATTCTGAAATTCTGATAATTATCTTATTTATGTGTTTATGTATTGCCCCTCACCCTGTTCACAAAAAGGTTGAGATTGCATATTTTAAATTTTTCACATTAATGCAGGGTTCCACAGCTGAAGATCTTGATAAGTTAGAATTGAATGGATGTGAATTGGAATTTAAAATTTCGAAACAAAATGAGTAAGTATTTTGTGACATTTATTTCTCTTCTATTAATATATTTTGTAAATATTAAGATATACCTGTATATGCCTTTGGATCTTGAGCAAAGCTTGCTTAAAATGATGAATGTTCTCAATGACTACATTTTTAACCCAAAATTTTGCTTTAGAAAAACACCTTTCATTGGACCATAATGCTCCAGCTAAGTACACATGGAGAAAAGTTCCATTTCATATTGTGATGATTTGATTTTATACCTCTGTAATTATATGAGTATACAAAAATTGTTGAGAAAAAAAGAGAGAGAGAGAGAAACAACAAATATTTTTTCCAGAAAAAAAAAATGTTGATGGGAAATTTGTTTTCATGGTGAAACAGCCCTCATAATGTTGCCCTTTACATTTACAGTGCATGTGACCAACTTCACGAGGAGTTAGATAAAATGAAGGCTAGACAGGAAAGTTCAGAAGTAAGCATAAATATTATGATATTTGTAATTTTTGTCCAAATCTTGTAGACCAATTTTAACAATACTCATAATACTTGACACACACAATTTTTCAGTGGAGAAATTCAAGAAGTTCAGTTTTTTTCACTGGACCTTCAAAAAAGTCCTTACTCACTCTGAATATGAGGATGTTATTTAAAACACATCTGTAACAAGACACATGTTCTTGGAGATGGCTGCATGGATTTGTCTGAAAATTTAAACAAGCATAAATATGTGCACTTGGTGCCTGTCATTTTTTAGATTTTTTTTTTATTTCTAAGAATTCATTCAAGTGAATTTTATTCCTTTTATTGATAAATATTTTACATCAAAAACTAAATAACTTTTCTCTTTTTTTAGGTTCACCCATTGCTACAAGGTGACTTTACACCCTCCCTAAAGCTTTCAGAGTTTAAAAAAATGAAAACGTGAAATTTTGGACATGAGTATTTAAAATCTATGTGTATCTTAACAAATATCCTAAATCCTGGAATATGTGCACTTAAAGTTCAAAACTCAAGCAAGTAATTAATATATTTAAATAAACATAAATACTTTGAGGTGGAATCACTTCTATGTAGCAAATTAACACAGACTAAGGACCACAGATTGATTGTGAACAAAAAGCCATTACCTTAGCAATCCAGGATCTGTATATGTGCATTTGCATTTTTATGACATGTATTTGGTAAAATGTTTTAGATCATACATTGACTTTGAGAGTATCTTGTATTCCAAGTTCATATATTTGTATAAACATCTATTAAAATGTCATATACTGTTATATTATTGTGTAAACATAGAAGATTAAATATTACTTTTTACAATGGTCTTTACTAGCTCACCTCAGCTGAAAGCACACATGAGTTTTCTAGATCAAATTTTGTCAGTCATACATCTGTCTAAACTTTCAGTTAACTTTTAACCTATCTTGCCACAAAGGATCCTTGGGTAAAGGGAATTCAATTTTGTTCAAATGAGGGGCCACACCCTCTAAAGTCTTTCAAGGGAAGATAATTTGCAATGAAAATGTGAGATAGACATTTCTTCTTAAAAACCATTGGGTCAAGAAATTTTAAACCTTTGCAAAACCGTCATTATATGTGTAGATTGAAATTTGTCAAAATTATGAACCCTAGGGGTAGGATTGACCACAAGTGGGTCAAACTCCAAGGTCAAGAGGGGGGGGGGAGTTGAAATTTTTTTTGAAATACAGCCTTTGTTAAATAAAAAAATGATTTAAAAAAAATATATATTCTGGTTTGATAAATTAAGAAATGTGTAGGTCACCATGACAAGAAGGTATTTAAAACTGCTGATAAAGTCTGCAAGATCTTGTTATTTTTAAAACTAAAGGCCCAAAGACCACATCACTCAGCTGTACACTTGAGCAGGAAAAAGCAGAAACGGGTTTCAATCTAATTAAAATTAGATCCTTTACACTCCTTTATTTTGTTATGTCGCTGTAAGGCGACATAACAAAATAAAGGAGCGTAAAGGATCTAATTTTAATTAGATTGAAATGGGTTTTTATTTTGCAGTTTAATAATGGAAAAGGTGGAGAGTGCATTATTTGAACAAACTTGAATATCACTACAGACCGAACATAAAAGATGCTTTCTTATTTTTTAAGACTGATGATTTTTTCAAAGACATTTACTCTGTCTGTAAAACTTAATTTTAAACACTCATTTTAGTTCCTCCCCTCCCCCTGGGGTCATAATTTTGAAAAAAAAAATTATATACACTACCTGAGGATGTCTCCATATTAGAATACTGTATAAGTGGAAATTTTAGGGAGACCCAAATTCAGCAATTTGTCCTTAAAAACTGGTATTTTATTTTTAGCGAGATGTAATTTTAGCGATTTTAAAATGTTCATTAAAGAACCATTTACAAATAAAATGCAATAAATTCTTAGCGCTATGTAATATTAGCCATCTCAGCATCCTCGCTAATAATGCCAAAATTAAATCCTCACTAAAATTTCTACTTATACGGTATGACAAATCACAACTTTGCTGCTGTTCATGAAAAGGTTTTTCCTATGTTATCCCTTGTAAAACTTTGATCACCCATTGTGATCCCATCCTGGTGGGGCAGGATGGAGGATGGTCATGGTTTGAACAAACTTCAATCTACACTGCTTGAGGAAGCTTTCATATATACATCTGACCAATCATGGCTGTGCACTTCTTGACAAGATTTTTAAAAGTTTTTTTTAAGTACTGTATACAGGGTTATTTTCGCCCTTTCCCACTTGAAAACAATTCTGTCCAATTTTAAATTTGCCCAGTCCTAGTTTTGTATAAGAAACCATTCTGTATATTCTTTGAATTCGCACCATTTTAAATTCGCCCAAAGAAGGTTAGGGTGAAAATAAAACAGGGGCAAAAATTTCCCTGTGTACAGTATTCCAAATTAAAACTTTTATTTGCACATTGTGGCCATTGAAACACATAACTGCCCAACTCTGCAAATCTTGATACATGTAATTTGTTATAGTTATTACCTCAATGACTTGTGTCACCCTGCTTATTTCCTTCACAAGACTGAATGAACACAGCAAATGTCATGTTGTACATGAAACCATTTTATTGTTGATAATCTAATCACAAAATAGCATTGCTGCATCAGCACACTTCATCTATTTTAACAAATATATTATGACTATTAAGGTAATACAAAGGTAGAGATTTGTAAGGGAATCAGTATACAGTCCATTTAAAAAAAAATACTGTAGACACTGAAAATGTTATCATAAAAAATACTCTGGCACTTTATATTGCAAAGGAAATATATTTCCTCAATGTTGATGAAACTTTGGTTTAAACATTAATTATACAACCATTGACAAGTTCACGTATGCACCAACAGTTAGAAAACTATACATGTGTAAATTATATTCAATCCTATGAACATATAATATGCACCTAACAATATAACACTATTCAAACTCATTTTAAGATGTACATTCAATATCAAAATGTAAATTATCATTATATCCATAATTAACAGAATGGGAGTGGATTGACTAGAGTAAAAGATAACACTTTATTTTGCTTTTACTTTCACTTGTAAATTCTTAATCTTAAATATAAATTAACGGATTTGTATACAGCACTCAATGATATCTCAGCACTTTGTGTCTTTAGGACTGCAGCAATGGTGGCTTAAAATTCCATTACTGTACTGGAGAAAAAGGGGTGGGGATCAAAATCCTTGATTCCATATGACGGATAAGAGGTACTGCAATAAAATAAAAATACATATTTTTAGGTCACCTGAGTAAACTCAGGTGACTAATTGCTATCTGTTTTCGTCCGTCGTCGTACGTCGTTCGTAAACTTTTGAAGATTTTTAGCTTCTTCTCTGGAACCACTGAACCAATTTCAACCAAATTTGGTATACAGCATCTACGGGTGAAAGGGAACATAAATTGTGAATTTCATTGTCCCTGCCCCCCTGGGGCCTGAGGGGTGGGGCCAAAACCACGAAAATTAGTGCAATCTTTAAAAATCTTCTTCTTTACACCTGGACATCAAGCAGTCAAACTGTTGACATTATTGTAATCATCATTGAGTCCTCTACCAAAATTGTGAAATTCATGGCCCCAGGGTCAGGGGTTCTGGTGTTAGGGGGGGGGGGGCTATATAGATTGTATAGTAAAAGTTCATTATTTCTTTGAAAATCTTCTCCTCTGCTCCTGGGTATAAAACAAACTAACCAAGGACATAGTTCTGATGACCTAGAGTGCCTCTTCGAAAATTGTGAATTTCATGGCCCCAGGGTCAGGGGTTCTGGATTTAGGGTGGGGCTCTATTGATTATATAGTGAAAATGCATTTATTCTTAAAAAATCTTCTTCTTTGCTTTTGGGTATTAAATAAACCAACAAAGTAAATAGTTATGATGAGCAAGAGTGTGTCTTCCAAAATTGTGAATTTTATGGCCCCAGGGTCAGAGGTTCTGGTGTTAGGGCGGGGCTCTATTGATTATATTGTGAAAATAATTGTGAATTTTATGGCCCCAGGGTCAGAGGTTCTGGTGTTAGGGCGGGGCTCTATTGATTATATTGTGAAAATGCATTATTTCTTTGAATATCTTCTTCTCTGCTCCTGGATATTAAATAAACTAACTAAGTACATAGTTATGATGACCAAGAGTGCCTCTACTAAAATTGTGAATTTTATGGCCTCTGGTTTAAAACACAAACCAAATTCCATTGTTTGAAAGTTGTTACATGATACTCAGGTGACCTATAAGGCCCGTGGGCCTCTTGTTAACTTATACTTAAACACAGTGAAAAAAATTATATGGGTGTCAAATTAGACAATTTTACTGCACATGTACAGAATAGTACATGTATAAAATTGGGAGGCAAGATAGGGTGACTATAGACTGAAATTAAAGGTACTACCAAATAAAAGATCCATTTAAACAGCTAATAGTGTCAGTTAATAAGACAATGTAATTTAATAGTCTGAGGCAATATAGGGTGACTACAAAAGTCAGAGGTACATGTACTACAAGTACATGTACAGTGAAATGGATTCCACAAGTGGTAGATATGACAGTTTTCACTGTACATGTTCAGTGTAGGTATAATATGAGGCTGTATAGGGTGACTAAGTGTGGAGGACATTTAGCTAACCTGTGTAGGCTACACATTCATCCCATCCTGGTTTGCTCCAGGCCATTGCTCTAGTTTCTTTCCTTGTCTGTAAATCTTTATATCCTGTTTAAAATAAAAAGAGACCACTGGGAGATGTTAATGTATCTCAATTTATTTAGTCCTGATGTTTTAGACTAATTTTAGGCAAATTAAATGGTATTTTGATATATCACATAAGCTACCTACATGTATGATGAATTTTTTTTTTTTAGTAAATTAGTTTACATTATTTTAATGTGCACTAGAATAGACAATGCATATCTTTGACAAATTTTTTTTAAATTCATGTTCTAATTGAATGAAAAGAATTCTGTGAATTTTTTAAATATATATATTTTATGCTTATTCTGAATCAAATTAAATATATATACAACACTTCACAAATATACCGGTAATAAGTATATACACATGTATATAAAATAGTGCATTTAGACAGGATAAGTTTAAAGTGCTAAGATCTTCTTACTAGTGCATGTATATATCATTCATAAAGCAAGTTTTCAAGTCAGAGATTGATATCTACCAGTATAAAGATAACATTCTACATACTTCATGTATATTCTGTATATAATATCAACATGTACATGTATTAGAATTGCAACAGAAAAATGAGAGAAGTTGAACTTTATCTCTTAATGAATATGTTCAAGTATATTTACAGGAATAATGAGAAAGAATTTCATTCTTTTTTAAGTTTGCTACAAAATTACAAGATATATGATCATTACATTCTGTACACATCCATAAATTGTGAAAAGAAAGGAAAAGAGGGAAGGGGATTGGGACTGGAAAGTGTTAAATAAGAGTTCCCACATCCTGTCTGTCACCTATCCATGCATTGTAATTCTGGTGCTTTATGACATACCCCATAGATGATGTACGACATTTTGCTCTCCTATGTGGGTAAAAAATCCAGCCACTGGTTCATTGTTATTGCGTCTGTGTTCTATACCCCTTCTCCTTCACCAACAAGACAAAGGAATCTCTTAAAGCACTATTATACATGAAGTGTTTTTGCATCTCTAAACTGAATATGAATGGATCACATTATATATATAAATGTATATTTTATGTTCCATTTGATTTTCCTCAAGTAAGTCGATAATAAAATGTAATGACAGTAGAAATACATGTACAACTGTATCAATTTCGCAGTGCGTTTCAAAATCATGGAATGGTTCTAAATCATTTCTATCCTCTCAAATATGTTCCCCATTTTAATGATGTGTTAATTTGATTATGATGACAAATGCACAGTGCATAGAGGGGTAAGAGCTGACCATGACTTGATTTTATGAGGAATGAATAATAAGATTCTGAAAAATTTTATCTTTAAAAATCCTTTGTGCAAATGTTCAAAATATTCAAATATTAAAAAGTTTTTTTTTTAATTTCTAAGTTTTTGAAATCTAAATCTGTAGAAAATTTATATACTGAAAAATGTTTCATTACAGAGCTCTAAACAGCTAAATAACACATAATGCTATAAACAAAAAAAAAAAATTGAAATACATTTTTATACTAAGTGTAGCAAACTAATATGACTAGCAAATTAGTGATGCTGAATTATTTATGAATCAGTTATCTATTGAGAAAAAAAAACTACTTTTAATATTAGCTATCCTAAGCCAAATGCTTGGGTAATCTTTCTTGTCCAAAATCAGTCCTTCTGTTTGTCATTTTATCTGCAGTCTGTTACATTCTTGACTTCTTCTTCTAAACTACAGACCAGGGTTCAATACTATTTGAACTTTGCACAAAGCATCTTTGGCAAAAGGGAATTCAAGCTTGTTCAAATGAAGATTAAAGCCCCCATCCAAGAAAAAAAAATGAAACATTTGAGCCAGTGAGAGGCATCAGTATTTTTTAAAGGGGAAAAAGGGTTAATCAGGTGAGCAGTGAGGCTCTCGGACCTCTGGTCATACTCAGTAACAGAAAGAAAAAAAAAATTAAATTAATGTAAAATTTAGGGGGAAAATCCTAAAAGAGTTAAATGTAATAGCAAACTATTAGTACACAAGAAAAAAAAAAATTGTAAAATTGCAGCAATCATGCCCAAAAAACAAAACTTTCAATTAACAAAAGTGTCGAGCAGTTTCAATTTACAACAGCAAAGAGTAATTGGAAGAGAGAGGTTCACCACATTACAAAACAACAGACTAGTCCATTACAAATGGGTCTATTTGGGTGTCCTCTGGTCATTACACTTACCCCAAATGTGATGCACTGTGAATAAGTCACCTAGATCGGCAAACAGTCCGCAGACTGCAACTTCATTTTCTTGCCGAAAGCGTAAACCTTTCGCCCTTCAAGAAAATTCTCCATTACTTTTTTAACCATTATCCCTTCTGTTTTAAAATATGTACATGTACTTCTAATCTTGAAAATGTTCAATATATTAAAATTTACTTTTTTAAATTATCTTGTCTTACCAGCAATTTGACCACTCTATCATTGAACCAGGCTGAAAAAGAAAAGATTTTCAATTTCAGAGGACATGAAGACAATAAAGCTTTTATTTACCACAAGTATTTGCCAAATGTACATTTTTAAAAAATGCAAAATTATCATGTAAAACCTTTTTGTTGAATAAATACATAATTATAAATGAAAACATGAACAATATTTTGACCATTTTATTCCAACTATCAGATCATGTTGTTATACTTTTTAATTCCTCTGGATTTAGGAACTCAAGTAAATTGTATGTACAATATCTATTTTTTTTTTCAATTAATTTTTACCTTTAGTGTGTAACTTCTCATTTCATAGATATTCCTTCCTTCTCTTGGCACTGGGGCGGGCCAGAAATTAAAGGGTAAAAGAATCTGATTCTTCCTGTGGCGAAGCATTTTGTTTCTGCTGATTCGAAAGTTAATAAAATCCTGTATTTAAAAAAAAAGAGATAAAATTAACATATACCAGTAATTAAAATCTAGCTTTACAAATATTTCTCTTTATCAATTATATACATAAAATTGAATCCTTGTCAGAAAATTCATTTACTTCAATCAACAGTTTTTTTTTTGATTGGCGAAATCTGCATTTGTTATACAGATATACATCCTTAATGTACTATATAATGTGGTCTCGCTTCAAAGATATTGTATATAATGAGGTCTCGTTTCATATATATTGTACATGACTGTATAATATGTGGTCTCGCTTCACACATGTAAAAGATATTGAATACCTTTTAATATTTTTTTTATGCAGAGTCTACACATATCGATATAAAAGCTAGAATCTTGTAAGTAGATGTTCTATTTATAGAGAGGATCTGAGAGCTACTTTATGATTTACTGGACTGCGTCTGCACACTAAAATTCAACTGTTTTTTAAAGAATATATTTGCTATGTGAAGAATTAAGTCAATATTCCATCAGGATCAAGACATACATGCAATTGCTTTTGTTGAGCTGGAAAGAGACAAATATTAATGGCATCTTATAAACAAAAACAAAAAAAAAATAAATAAATAAAAATAAATCCAGACAACTATGGCATAAAAACCTGGACCCTCACTGGTCTCGTTAGGGTTACCTGGTCAGTCCTGTAGATTTCTGTGGCATTATTTAAAACTGGATACCCTCCTTTGTATTCCCAAATATGAACTGAAATAATATAACATTGGTAGCACCGACATCTGAACCTACGCTTCTATGTTATAATATAGACAGAACAAATTCGGGACAGCAAAGAAAATCAAACAGACAAAAGGTTGATGTGTTAAAGTTCTATTTCAATTTATCACTACTAGCTTTGTCCTTATCTTAGTTGAAGAGTTGTCTACTTAAGACTTACTTGCTTCATCTTGATCCCCGATTTCCACCGTAAAACTCCCGACCAGATGTGCACCGGTCTTCTTATTGTGCATCAGTTCTTGAAATTGAGAGCTATTTAATACAAAGATCCAAATAAACTCAAATTTTGACAATATACAGATAAATAAATCTACAGTACAATGCAATGTGTGTTCACATAGATCTCTAAAAATCTCTCTCCTTTACATAACATGTGCAGATGCAGCAATTTTTTCTGATATCATATCCCATATCAACTCTAATACATTTCAGACATGGGGGAAAAACAAAACAACTTTTCCAAGTCTCAAAAACCTATTATGGCCAATGGGGTTTGGGGAAAGGAGAAGACACTTTTCAAAGAGGGCTCTCAATCTTTTAATTAACACCATGTAGAATTTGATAACTGAAAATTCATGTCACCATCAAAAACACATTAACTATATATACATGCAGTTATGTAAAATACATGGATATTGGATCATATAAGTAATAACAATGAATTAATAAGTGACTGATTAAAGAATGGGTGGACTTAAATGGCCAGAAAAAATGCCGTAAATTTAAGTTTCATAAAATGTTTATTTTTTTCCATCATACAAACCCCCGATATCTTAACCGTGTATTCATGGTAGGATGCTCACTCTGTTTTGCTGTTTTTTGAAATCAATAGATAATCAGGTGTCAATATCCTTTATGTCTTTTCTTTTAATTAACAAAATAATGGTATATTAAAAGGAGAAGAGCCATGTTAATTTATCAAAAAACATGTTCAATTTGATATTACTGAAATATTACAATTCATCATGTGATGTCCACCTGTGAGTGTACTCGTGAAAGCAGTTACATTGTATTCTTCAACCTGACCTCGATCTAAATCATGTCTTTGAGTGTGTTTTGTTGCCGTTTTCAGAATTTAGCAAATTAAATATTGTTTTCATTTTACCAACATAAAAATAATTTCATATTGACATCACATTAAAAACACGATTTTTGGAGAGAGAGACATATATACAAGCAGTTATTGATTGTGTGAAAATAACACTGTATTTCGATTGGATCATATAATTTTGATAATACAACAATTGTTTTTGCACAAATGTTCATAATATAACCAAGTGATTAAATTTATATTTTGCACTTCATAAAAGTGAAAAAAGATATAATTATAAAAAATATTAAATATATGATAAATTTCTTTGGTATTAAAAGCTTACAACTGTTTCAAATATTCCTCCATATTTTCAGGCTTTACTGCATGAACTGAAAAAAAAAATTAAAATAAAATATAGAAATAAATGTTACGTTCAGCATGAAAAAATAATCAATATGAGTAGGTATTAAATGACTGAATGCATGTCTTGGCTTAAACCTAATGTTCAGTAAAATTTGAAAAAAGCTTGCACATACGGTTTTACCATAAACTGTTACATTTGTAAAGCATCCTGCAATGTGTGATGGAGGATACAAATTAAATCAAAACTTACGCTGAATTTCATACACAGTTTCTTTGTCTGAAAGCTGGCTTGAATGAGATTCCTTCTGAATTTCATAGGGTCCAAAGTCCGACTTGTCAAATATGGACTTGATAAACTGTATCTGTTTCACCCCAAAGGATCTCTTATGATTGTCATCAGTCTGTAACACTGCTGATGTTGAGAGACATCTACAATTTTAAGCATAATTTATTAATTTTTTTTCTGCATTTTTCAAATGAGGATCATCAGAAATGAAAACACACAACTGAACAACAGATTTTGTCTGAGTAGAATGAACTTCAATACAATTATAATACAGACTTACATGAAATCATGCAGAGGCTTTCACAGCCAACCCTAATAACTACCAACCCCTCACCCCACCCCCTAAACTACATTAGTATATAACCATGCACTCTCCTTATCTTAGCATTTCATGGAGGCAAAATAGTGTATAAAAGTGTTCTAGCAACAGTCCCTACTGATGCATACATTTATAAAAAAAAAATCAGAAAGTACAACAAAAACCATGTACAATGAAATGGTTGTTAATATATGTTTTCATCAATGTATGTTCATTTGCCCTAAAATGTGTTCATCTTTGATGTCGCACTGTTTGCCCTAATTCTTTTTCGCCCAGTGTCCAAGAATTCTGATGTCACATATACTGCACAAGGGAGGACGCCATGTTTGCCCCTCTGTTTTCGTTATATTTTGTCGTATTTTACTGACTCACTGCCACGGATCTGTCAAGAAATGATTCTTGTAAGACCTTATGCTGAAATTTCCCCCTTGGAGCCTCTTCAATACACATTTCAGACTAAAAATAATCCAAACCAGCTCGTTAGGACAGTTGGTATGGACAGAAAGCGAAAGTAACCTCAGCGTTTTACATTCAAATACGGAATTAGAACGCGGTTTTTTCAAATTTATAATTAGCAGTTGTTTTAAATAATGGAAAAACCCCGAGGTAACCGAATGTGTTTTCACTTTCTGTCCATACCAACAACTGTCCTGACGAGCGGGTTTGGATTATTTTTAGTCTGAAATGTGTATTGAAGAGGCTCCAAGGGGGAAATTTTAGCATTAGGTCTTAGAAGAATACCTGCATAACAAAACAGAGGTCATTCTCTTGTGTACAATAAATAATTATTACACGCCGGGAGCAAGTCCCTGTGGCTTGAGCAAAGAACTCATGCGAACACATAGATGGGGCAAATGGACCGAATACCTGCATTCATTACATATTACACCTGACATTATGCCTATGTATTTACCAAGTAAGGATGAAAACAAACAGTGCATAATCATAATCATGATAATAGCTTTAACTGAAATTAACATGGAATGTTGGAAAGTTAAATTAAATAATCGGAAACAAAGGTACTTTTTATGAAAAAATTTAGTTTGAACAACCTCTTTGTATGTAACTGCCCTTTATTATTAAACCGGATTTATCAGGTCCACAAAAATTTACTACCATTCATTCTGACTGGGGCAACTGTCGTAAATAACATTGCAAGTTCTTTTTTGAAGGTGGTCTTGACAAAAGATTAAGCATTTTACCTGTGTGAATTGAAAGATGTTTCGCACAGCTGTTTTGTGCGGACGGACTTTCCACAAACACCTATACTTCTCAGTAGCCTTGCCATGACCGGAGTGTTCATGTTTCCATTGCCTCGCTATGAAAACGAAAGTGAAGGTCAAATCATTTGACAGCTTCAAGTGCGGCAAATATTTTTTCTAATTTCCACATTAATTCAAAATCTGTAATTTTGCTTAATTTATCATAAATAACTTCTTTTCTAAATTTTTCTTAAAAATTAATAGGACTATAAATACCCGAAAAGACCCTATGGAATATATTATTATGTTTTGTTTTTGTTTTTTTTTAATTAACATTTTCCATTGAAATTTTTTTCTATTTTTTTTGTTTTTTTTTTTGTTTTTTTTTTTTTTTTTTTTTTTTTGGTTTTTTTTTTGGTTGTTCCTGTTTTAACATTTTATTTACATGTGTATTTGCAAATCTTTTTTATTCTTTTGATTATTCATAACAATGAAAATAATAAGAGATTAGATAATTATTTTGCACTATTTTTGTAATAAGAATATTTCTTGTTTTACATCTATTCGCAAAATTTTGGGTTTTCTTTTCTGGATAATTGTCCCATACTGATATTAGATTAACCTTATCCATAACAACCAATCAGTTTGCAAATGGCGCCTATGGTGGTAAACAAAATTTAAAAATACAGAAGACTGAATCAAAAGTCTTAGAGATTTTTTTTTTATGAAGTAGGCATATCATAAACAATCAAGATGACAGTTAATTTAGAAGAATATTTCCGAACAACCTTCGAGGATAAACTCCTCGTGTAAGTATAAATTCAATGTGTGAACATTGTAAACGAGTTCGAATTTCCTCCTAAATGAATCTTTATGCATTTGATTTAATTTTATAGCAAAGACAGATGATTCAATATTTATATCTTTGTAAATGCTTTATATTTTCATTTGTAAAAAAAAGTTTCTATTGCAATGCTCTTATGGATCATGACACTCTAGTCTGTTTATTGCACTTGCACAGCAGCTCGTTCCTTTCTATTTGACCACCCCTGCTCTACAGAGTACATGGTATAGAGATGGTCAAGTGAAAAGAAGAAAAATTAATATGATGAGCCTTGGGCCTCTATGGTTTATGCATGGCCATTATCAAATATGGCAAACTCATCAGAGAAGCTAGGAATTCCATTTCATTGATCTCCCAGACTAAAATTCATTTCAAAATTCCTCACAGCCAATATCTTGTGCAAAATATGTTCATTCTTATTAGATTTTAAATATATACATGTACAAGTTATTTTACGATGATTTTTTTATATGTTTTAGTTTTGCACATTTCACCCAATTAAGACACAAGTGGGCAAATTTAAGATGGAGTGATTTCAAAGAAGACAGTATAACTCCTTCAACACTTATGTGACTGCCAATTTCAAAATTGTTTGCAAGTCCTTAGTGTGAAAGAGCAAAAATAGCACAGGGCAAAAATTAACCCTGAATACAGTATAGCTAGGATTCCTCATATTGTATAACTGCATTGTTTTGGAACAAAGATAATATATAAAATTTGCAACTTTAACCTGCTTTAGGAGACTTATGGTGATATATTATTTAACAGGTACATAGATGAATATATATATTTTTATTTTAAATAGTAAAATGCCTGAAAGGGAGGATGATCATCTCACCCCTGCAACAAGGCTCCTTGAGAAAAGGAGAGAAATGCAGGAAGTTGAACAGGCTTTAGCTGCACAAAAAGAGGTTTGTATATGTCAAATAACAATACACTGGTAAATGAAAAGTTTCATTTTTTGAAGATGATCTATTACAGAAGGTTTTATGATATGTATGTCAGTCCTCATTATATGTCCTCTGAGCACTGAATTTATGTTGACCTTTTCCAGACCATGTTAAGGAAATATGCAACATATAGTTTAATGAATTTTAATTTACTTAATCCTTGTATGATGTGAGAGGTCCAGTAATGAAAATGACCATAGAGTGACTTTTATAATACTTATTGATACTGTACACCACTTCTAAACAAGTTATGAGAAAATATATTATAATAAAACCAAATTTATATTTTCGTAAATTTTTCTATGAATAATGCAAAGACTTCAATTGTTTGATATCTGTTCAAAATCCTTAGTAACAAATGTCAGTATTATCTACATGATCTAAGAAGTAAGCACATCATTCTGTTGTTTCTGTGATTTTTTTTATTTATTTATTTTTGGTTTATTTTGTCAGGAATTCCAAATGAAAATGGAAAGTTTGCAACAGAGAAGAGAAGAACTTGAAAGAAAAGAATGTCAGCTGAAGGAATCATTGTTAAAGTTTGATCATTTCTTAAAGGTTTGTTCTTAACCTGAAAAGTATTCATGTACAGTGTATATATGAATTATTTTTGCTTCTGAATCAATGTGTGTACAAATTTAGAATTATCCATTTAGTAGTTCTTAAAAAAGTATGATTTTCAGTTAACAACTATTTTAATGTTTCACTTGTTTGATTGTAGGAAAATGATTCTAAAAAGGCCAGAGCCCTGAAGAAAGCAGAAGAGGAGAGAGAATCTAAAAAGCAAAAAGACAAAGAAATTGAAAAGTAAGAGATTAATAATTTTTCCTTTTTATTCGGTGAAAGAAAAAAAAGACCTCTGTTTTTATGACATTTTTTGGGAACAGTGTTATGATCTACTTGCATGCACCTGTCTATAATTGTCAGAAATATGATGCACAAGTGAATGAAGTTGAACATATGACTTTGAAAAACAATACATGCTTGTTAATATTTATTACATGTTCTATGATGTTTAAAATAGATTGAAGCAAGAAAGAGCAGAACTTGTAAAGTCCAAAGAAAAACTTCAGGCAAAATTAGAGAAATACAAGATTTATCACAGATACATGGAGAAAGCTTTGGAGGCTGGAGAGGAATTTCATGAAATGAGGGATATAATCGCTAGACATGATACACTGGTAGCCACTCATGAGGTAAATATATATAAACTGGTAGTTATTTATAGCCAGACATGATAAGTTAGTAGAAACTCAAGCTACAAAAAAAATGATTAATGCATTTCTTCAAAAGTATTTTATGTTTAATAATTTATATTATCTTTAAAAAATATTTCACACAATTTTTATAATTATTATCCTTCTCTGCTTACAGGATTTGCTGGAAAGAGAAACAAAAAACCAGGAGATTATTGAAAAGCAGAGACAAAGTTTATTAAAATACATAGAGGTTTGTGTGTGGTCATAAATATTTTTCATCATGGAGTATATTTTTTGTAATGAGATAACTCATAAAATGTATGTTGCTTACATCAAGTGAGGATTTTTTTATTTTCATTTGAAAGGGATAAATTTTGCTGATTTACATTTTAAATTAAATGACAATGTAAGGATGTTTAATAAATTTGTATAATGATAGCTAAAAGAAATATGAGTTGCAGTTGGCATAATTTGCATGTACAAGAAAATGAATGTCTTGCTTTCAGGATAAAGACAACGAAATTCTTTCTTTCAACAATGAGCTCTCAGGACTTCAGACAAGGTTAGATACAGCCCAAAGTGAGGCTGTCAAGTGGGAAAACGAATGGACTCGTATCAAGAATACATCTGCAGAGAAAACCCTTGAACTTGGAAGAATCAAAATGTAAGTACATGTAGTTATTATGACTGCACAGAATTAAGATTTTGAATGAAGAAGGCCACAGTGTAGAGAATGGGAAAGTATTAAAATTTGAAGAGTTTCACATTCCTTGAGAGACATAAGTTTTCATTCTTAAAAACAGTGTTGAGAATGAGTATTAAAAATTCTATAAATTGCATGTTCTTTGATGGACAAAAGTTTACATTTTAGACTTAAGGAAAACAACATTCATCTATTTTTTTTATGGTGAATTCACAGTATACAATGAAGCTTTTCCAGAGTTATCTCCCATTATGCACAATTGAGACATCCATATTCAAGATTTTGAAAAGCTTTTTAATTCCTAATTCTAAAACAGTGTCTGCTTGTGCTATTTAACAAGTTCATATAATCTTTATGAATACAGGGCTGCCCATAATTTGTACCAGTTAGTCAAACGCCACCAGAAGCAATCTGCCGATGATGAGGAAACCTCAGAACAGTTAAATCAGGTAAGCAATCCAAGGTTACATATTGTTGTGATCATAATCTGAATCCCAGATTTTATCTGAATGATCGTCTCCAGGAAAAATAAGGAGCTTTTCGTTCCCAAATCTATGTTGTGTAACTCACTTTCCTGGTTTTTTCCCAATCATATTCTGCCTTATAACCCCCTCTACTTAAATTCCTCTTTTGGGTTTGGTGTCTAAAATCTTTTGTCTTTCACTATTGGATATTTCTTATGTTGAACAGATTTTTTGAATAAAATCATAATTTCCATCAATTATAAGATTAACCCGTATTATCCACTATATTTGTCCATTTGTTTTCTTTGTTATAACATTTTACTAAACATAAAAGTAATACAAAAATAATTTTAAAGCCAAAACATTTTCTGTTCTCCCCTTTTCATTACATATATATACATTTAGCTGAATAGGTATCCAAATATTTTGAATCTGATATTTTTTTTAATTAATTTGAAAAATACCTGTTCAGATTTCATAACATTTTTAATCTCTATTTGTTATGAGAAATCACCCAGTTTCAATATGCACCGATTTTTACCAACCAATGTGTTCATTAGGTTTCTCTATCATGTTTCATTTTATTGCGGTTTTATTTATTTATCATTTTGTTTACTTTTTTCCTATGAAATACCAGTCAAAATTTAAGAATCTATGCAATGCATGTTATATTCTTGAAAATTTACATCCCTAGGTTTTTTTTTTATTTTTCTGATAAGGTTTAAGGTCTCTATATAATTAGATTCTATCAAAAGCTTTGATATTCTTCAGCTTATAATTCTTCAAATCTGTTAACATATATATTTGTTGTATTAATATTCAAGTTTTTCTTTCAGTTATTGAGTTCCAGAATATTGACAAATTGTGATAGTTGGTTACTAATACTCACTGTTCACAAAGTACTGCTGTGTTTGTACTATAGTACTGTATTTATGTTGAAGTATAGTGTATTTATGTGCTATATTTGTGCAAAATTAATAACTGCAAGAATTAATGCATTACCCATGTGACCTAAAGTGACAGTAAAGTTATCATTTTAAACATTTTTTTGGCTTTTAAAACCAGTACTGATCATAAATAATTTATAAAAATATTGAAATTCATTGTTTATTAGCTAATATATTTAAAAATTTTATGGTACCTTTTTGGGGGTATGTCATCAAATATGCCTGTATTTTCCAAAAATAATCTGCAAAACGTTATTTTAAGCCATAATTATTAAATCAAAACTTTAAGTTTTCAGTTGCACTTTGCAAAATAAAAAAAAAATGGCATGGGTTCAAAGCATTACAGCTTGAAAATACCGTATAATCCCTATTAACCGCCCCTGCCCCTATAAGCGCCCCCTATGTCTTTTTTCTATTATCATTATGATTAAAATTATTAAAACTTTAAAATTTTGAAATAATTTTTGTAACTTGTCTATTATCCATTTTCTGGGTGAAAAATTAATCATGTAGCATAATTTGGGTGAATTATCTTCACTTAAAGTATAGTTCAACATAATTTCAGTGGTTCTTTGAATTTTTTAAAGTTAAAAAATGACATTAAATATTAAGAGGAGAATACAGCCCCCTTTTTGCAATTTTCTAATGGGATTATACGGTATCTGCTTTTTATGTATACAGTATTTAATGAAAATATTCAACACTTCTTTCTTCTCACTGGAATATACCTGTATATTTGCAAATTCATTAACAAAACCTACATCTTTAATTTTATGTACTGCTCAATTTATCTGTGAAAATTACACATTTGTATGAATATGATGATGATGATCATTTTCAGAGAAAAGTATATAGATATATTTTCAAGAATGAAACTTTTCTTGTGCTTGTCTCTTTCTAAAAATATTCCTACATGAACCGGGAACAAGATTTCAATTTTTGCTGGGATGGAAAAAGGTTGAAGGCTGAAATTTTCAATTAAAATTGTTTAATACCTATTGGAATATTTTGAACTTCTGAATTCTGAACTTGTTTGCTTCCAAAATAAATTTAAATGGTACCTGATCCTCTAATAAGCAATTAAATGGATTGCATACACATGTGTACGTGTACATGTATATGAATTTTGGGCCTCTGGTAGTTGTTTTTGTGTCTGAGCTAGTGTGGTGCAGCTTTTTGTCAATATATATATAACACCCACATAACCTCACTTACTAATTAATTCTCCTGGCCACACTCCAGACCAGAATCGGGGCGTCACAATTTCAGATTTATTTCAGGTGAGATTTCATGTAGTGACATTGCTTGTTCATTTGCATGTCATAGTGTGTGCAATATGCTGCCTAAAATATTGTAACAAAAATACTAGATCGTCAGTAATTTTTAGTCAGAAGTTGAATATATGACTATCACATACTATTTACATGTATTAGTTTAGTACATGTAATATTAAAAAAACATAGATATAGGAAAGAAAAAAAATAATTATGCACATACTTTGTAGTGCATTAATTTGTATATATATAGGACAATTAATTAAGAAAATTAGTTTTAAAGGTAAAATGCAAAGAAATTGAGCATAATTTTTAGGGCAAAATTAGACAAATAAGACATTTTAACGTAATATTTATGAAGGAAATACACATTTATTCCTTTAAGACTTATTACTGTACAGAAAAACTCGTTTTGTTCGAACACAGATATTGCAAATTTATGGATATAGTTAAGTTATCTTGAATCCCCAACTATATAAAATTAATGAATTCCTAATATGGATATAACAAATTAACGGATATAGCAAAGTAATTTAACAGGTCCCACCGACTTTGTTATAAACTTGAGTTTTACTGTTTATACTAAAAGCATTTTTAAATCTTTAATACATAAATAAATAGGTCAAATTTACAAGCCAGAAATTTGGAATCTATGTGCGGCTTTAAAGCAATCTTGCATGCAGCTTTGCATATCATCCTTTGAAATGGGAATACTTAAATATGAGTATATTGTAAACAAAAGTTGTGCAATTTCTTTTATTTATGAAGATAAAAGTTCAAAACTATACCTTAAAATCAAAAATGTTTGTGAAATTCAGAAAGAACTTAAAAATTTCTCTTCTCTTTTTCAGATTCAAATGTTCTTGGAAGATCTGACAGACATTGTTCGAGATTTAAAGAGATCAGACACCTACACTTCAACATACATTCCTCCCTCCTCAAGTTGAAGAGTTCCATTCTTCTCTATTCAAAAAATAAATTTGTATATGTATATTCATATGCTTTCTTTCAGATAAAAATGTTCATGCAGGATTTAACTACCATTACCAATGAAATCAAGAGAATGGAAATGCCAGGAACCTCTATTGCTCCACCCTCTTCAAGTTGATTTCATTTTTGTTCCTAAGCTAAAATTTTGTTCAAATTTATTTATTGACGATTCTTATTTTACTTGCAAATTAAAGCAAAAACTTAAACTGAAGATTAGATTTATGAATAACATTTTATGCATATAAAATTCTTTGTTTACTTGAAACTGCCTTTATATCTGGAGTTTGTTAACTTTCAATTTTTAATCAGTCATGCTTGTTTCATCATGTAAAATGTTTTCTTTGTTTGGAGTTATACTGTAAGCAGAAATCAGAGGATGCTTTTATTTTAATCTTTTTAAAATTAATAATTTCTTTATTTATTTTTTTAAAAAAATTTTTTGGATTATATACCTTTCACCATGTGATACAAACTATGTATGCATGATTCTTGTGAATGAGAGGATAAAATGTATCTTAATAATTAAGGTGCATGAGTTTGCCTTTTTGTGTTTTTGTTACTGTGTAAGTGTAATTTTTTTTATTTTCATAATCAAGAAATATACATTTTGTTCACTTTATTTGTTATGAAACAATAAAAATATTAGGATGTACTAATTTGCTGAAGTTCTTCTTTAAAATCAATATGATTTGATGGTATATTTATATTTAAAACTGTCAACAATAAAAGCACATACTGTAAATGATAAACTATTATCAGAAACAAACATTTACATGTCATGCTGTGAATTGATAACATAAAATGTGGTGGCAGCTTAACTTTTAAGTGAATTGCATGTAATCTAGCAATTGAATGAATGTATTATAAAATGTCCATGGCACCTGATCCCTCCTATGATATTTTTAGAGGTCTGTGCTCTGCTCCTGATTTGTATTGCTTTAAACTGTTAAATGACTACAATCAGCCTTATCTCCATATTGTATTGTATAATGTAGATTCAGTCATAGCAAAAGACAGATTATTGCATGTCGATCCCCTGCTTTTGCGAAAGCGAGGGATCTCATTCATCTATAAGTCTATCAGTCTGTAGTTTTCTCTGTCCATCACGAAAACATCAACCTTGGTCATATCTTTTAGATAGGGCTTTCATATTACACTTGTATATTACCTGTGACAAGACCTTTCTGAATACACTATGATTTTTGACCCCTTGACCTTGAAGTTTGAAATTCTTTAAAAAGAAAGTAATTACTAGTATTTCTTTGAATTGGCTATAACTTTTGAATAAGAAGATTTTCATATCAGATATGTCTATTACCTGTGACAAGACCTTTCTAACTACACTATGATTTTTGACCTTGAATTCAACAACCTTGACGTCAGAGGTCATAACTTTTGAACAGGTGGTTCTATGGTTTTATAATACATCTGTATTCTTGTGAGGCATTACTTTGGGTATCAACAATTTTTTTGATTTATTTGCATTTGAGAAAATTTAACCTTCGCTATGTTGCCATCAGTGGGCATCAGTGTTTCACAAAAACATCTTGTTATCTCGTGACCTTGTCCTTGAAGTTTGACCTTATTTTCAAAAATGTTAATTTTTTCTTATAACTTTTGATTGAGAAGAGATAGGACTTTCATATTTGACATGTGCATTTCCTGTGACAAGATATTTCGGAGCATGTTTTGATTAATGCCCCCTTGACTTTGACCTTCACAACTGACCTAATTTTTTGAAAAAATCAACTTCAGTGATAACTTCTGAATGACATATAAAAGGGCATTCATATTTGACACAATATGCCATAAAAATTCACATTTCACCCACAATTAGACACCGAAAGCAGGGAACCACAATTCTTTGAATTTGCTTGTTTATTTTCTTTCTGGTCGAGTATGTAACAGATCATTTATTTTCAACCTTTCCGAGGATAGATTATTTATTTCCAAACCCTTCCAGCTCCTACCCCTTCAGAATCAAATGGTCCTTCCCTTAGAACCTCAATCAGTATCTGGGATTTTGTCCTGTCATTTAATGCCAAATATTTTCCGGAGACATATTGTATTGTGTCTGTATGAAAGTGGTTTAGTTTCCTGAAGTCTGGTACACCGTCTAGGTCTCAGATATGTAAAGAAGATTATCAGTACAACTGCTCTGTACACGCTAAGTTTTGTTGCTGTGGTAATGCCAGGACGACCCGTAGATCGCTGCGTTGTGGCAGAACTATCTTTATAGCCATGCCTACGTTGATTTGATCGTCAATGTGGACGCTTGTGGATAGTGTGTAATCAAGATATGTAAAGTTAGCTACTAGTAGCTGGCAACGACAAGTGGGTAAAGTTGGTTACTAGTAGCTGGCTACGTGAAGAAGTAAAGTTGGCTACTAGTAGCTGGCTACGACATGTAAGTAAAGTTTGCTACTAGTAACTGGCTACTAGTACATGTAGATGACTTTAACCTTCTAGTACCTTTTGTGTAAAATTGTGCAATTTTCCCAGATAGCATGACTATATGTTGGGCCAACATTGGCAAAAGGTTGTATGGTTGGCGTTGGGGGAACAACGTTGGACCAATGTTACCATGCCAACCTTCTCGACACAACTTTGGCCATTCACTTCCATTCACTTTACTTTCCAAGGAAGGAGGGATGTTGATGTTGGCCCAACATTGGCCCAATGTTGGTAATACACCCTTAAAGAAAGTGTCTTTTAAAGTTGGTAGTAGTATGTTGGCTCAACGTTGGATTGATGTTTGTAATACACCCATAAAGAACGAGTCTTATCAAGTTGGTAGTAGTATGTTGGCCTAATGTTTGTAATACATTCTTAAAAAAGTGTCTTTTCAAGTTGGCAGTAGTATGTTGGCCCAACGTGGGCCAATGTTTGTAATACACCCTTAAAGAAAGTGTCTTATCGAGTTGGTAGTAGTATGTTGGCCCAACATTGGCCCAATGTTTGTAAAACATCCTTAAAGAAAGTGTTTAACAAGCTAGTAGTGGTATGTTGGCCTAATCTTTGTAATACACCCTCAAAAAATGTTTTATCAAGTTGGTAGTAATATGTTGGCCCAACGTTGGCCGATGTTAGCACGAATGTTCTTTTGTTTAATTGTTTCAAAGATGGGATACTTATATTGGACCAATGTTGGCCCAATTATTATACTGCCAACTAAAATGATGGTGTCAATTTTAGCTGCTGGGCTTTACGTTGGGACAACACAGTTCACAGTGAATCATTAGTAATGTTTTCATTGAACATGTCCGTGTATGCATTATGAATGCAGGTTGAATTGTGTATTAAATTTTCTAAACAGGCATAAAATAGGTTTATGTTAAGAATCACTTAACCAATGTCAAATGTTTCTATGTAATAACTACGTTGGCCCAACAATTTGCCATCTGACATTGTAACATTTGGCCAACCTAACCAACCAGTTGTTAAAGCTGGCTGTTAGTTGGCATACACTAAATACTACGTTGGCCCAACAATATGCCATCTGACATTTCAACACAGGGCTAACGTTGGGCCAACCTAATTAAGGTCTTCCGTTTCCAACGGAAGACCGTATTGTTTTCGTTCGGTTTCTTTTTCCCTACTATTATTATTTTTTTCTTACCGATTTTGTGCACGCGAGTTCTCGGAAACGGCTCGGTCGATTTTCACGAAACTTTCAGAACTGATAGATATTGGTCTGAACCTTATTGGAAATTTTTTGTACGTACGATGTCACTTCTGGTCGTGAGATATGGACGATTTACTGATTTTCAGAGGGTTTGCTTGTCCTGGCAATCATTAAAAAACGAATGAAGATATTGACTTGAGATTTTCAGTGAAGGTAGAGGAAGGATTGCTGAATTGCTTTTTTGAGTCTATATCTTTCCAGCACAAAAGGTGTTGAAGCTCGCCTGAGCTGAAAAATAGACTCATAAATATCTCGCAAATTTTAATACGTTTTCTTTGATATCTTTGTACCTGTAAATAATTTGTTAAAGGATGTATAATAAAAGTTGTTCAGAATTACAAGTTCTTTCATTTGATAAGGAGAAAGAGGGTTTGACCCCTCAAATAAGGGGCATAGAGGGGCCAGAACGTTTTGATATATAACTCTTTAACTATCAAGATTTTGTTATACTTTTCTGAAGCAAAATATGTTTATCTTAACAATCTGCAACAATATATTGTAAAATCATGATCATATGTTACGTAATAAGGGGCCATAAGGGGCCAAAATGTTCATTCTCGGATTCTTCATATCTCGAAAAGGAGAAATATTTTGATAAGCAGTATTGAATAAAAGATGCTTAGAATCTTATTCTTACCAATATACAACCATTCAATTTTTGCAAACGGACCACATTAAGGACTTAAAGGGCCGGCCCTTTCATATTGTATTCTACATAGCTTGAAAATGAAGAGAAATTTATGAATAATTATTGAAAAATCTTTCAAATTACGAGTCTTATCATTTGATATGAAGACAAAATAATTTTAATAGTCTGACCTCTTCAATAAGGGGCCTAGAAGGGCTAAGACTTTCATCTATAACTATTTGGTAATGTTATCTTAATCAAAAGAATTTCATCAAAAGAGAGAAAGCTTGATATCATTATGTTTTAACAAAGACAATAGTCAAAATCATATCTCATATTATCAAAAAATCGGACGGAAAACCTACTCGTTGCTCGCAACGAGATCTCATCTAGTTAACCAACCAGTTGTTAAGGTTGGCTGTTAGGTGGCATACAATTATACTGTATACAGGGTTATTTTCGGCCCGTTTTATTTTCGCCCTTTCACATTTGTAATCAATTCTGCCCCGTTTTAAATTCGCCCAGGCTCAGTTTTGTTTAAGAAAATATATTGTATATTTTGAATTCGCCCCTTTTTAAATTCGCCCAAACAATGTAAGGGCGAAAGGGGCGAAAATAAAACGGGGACGAATATTTCCCTGTATACAGTAACTACTTTGGCCCAACAATATGCCATCTGACATTTCAACAAAGGGCCATCGTTGAGCCAACCTAGCCAAGCAGTTATTAAGGTTGGCTGTTAGTTGGCATACAATTATACCTCCGTTGGCCCAACAATATGCCAACATGCTGGACCAACGTTGGGCCGATTGGCATATTACCGTGGGCCAACGTAAGGTTACCAACAGTGGGCCAACGTTGGAAAAGAAATTGGGCCAACGTTGGCCCAACTATGTCTTGCTATATGGGATTAGGATATAATTGTTAATATTCTTGAAGAAGCTGGATTTATACATTGCTGATATCCACTGATATTGCTGATAAAAAGAATCTCTTAAGCTTTTCCACATGATCTGGCACTGAGGTTACCAAGATATCGTTAATAATAAATTCAGCTACTACCGTAAATCTGGAAATTTTTACGTCGATTTTATTCTGCGAATTCGGGTCAAAATGGTGTTGATTAATTTTTACGTTTCAAAATTTTGCGAATTACCACTGCTTTGTTTATATTTTCTTATTGGTAATTTATTTTTAAGAAAAATATTTTTGCGAATGCAATGAACTCGCAAATTTGCTAAAAAATTATCTACAGCAAAAATTTCCAGATTTACGGGAGTACCTTTTGTGAAAAATTGTGCAATTTTGGGATACAAATGTTGATATTCTTGAAGTAGCTGGAT